GTAACATATCCAAATGGCGATACATAAAAAACGGACTGAAAATAAACTCTGGTCGACCTCATTAACATGATTTATTCACGCACCCACACACGTGACAAAATTATAAAAATAACGATGATGCAACAAGTTCCCATCGTCGGCATGCCTCATTATGGTTATCGTAATGGACTTGAGGTCGGCAAAATGTTTTTCTTCAAGACAGAAAAATAATCCACATGACTGTAATGTCATAGCTGTGATGAAGGATGGAAAGAAAGTAGCAAGTTTATCGTGATGTCTCAAAAGTGCTAGCTCCCGTTATGGATTCACAGTCAGCGAAATACTACGTTTTGAAACCAAGGCTAAGTGCTTCAAACCACTCACCAAGGTATGGATCGTTGCAATATTGGATTCATCTTGAATGAAGAGAAAGCAGAACGTGTGCGCCACATGCTGCGTGGTTCATCTTACGTCGTTAAGTTCCAATGAGTTTTTACGTAAAAACACAAACAAAACGGCCCTTTTCAGGGCCACAACACACTCCAAAAAGAGAACTACTGTAACAAACACACTATTTAAATAAATCGAACGCGTTCGTTTTTGACAAATAAAACTTTATTGTTGATCCCGTTCTTGGCTAAAAATCACCCTGGGCGTTTAACCGAGGATGTCCCCAACATGTAACTTTTGTGAAAACAGGGGGTGGGCGCTTGCCCAGGGAGGGGCGCGTGCCCGGGGTAATACGGTACTGTGCACACATCAGCACGGGATTTCTTGCATTTTTTGCAAAGTGGTTTCTGCCTTTGCATGATGAACATGTTTTTCCCCAGGCAGGACACTTTTGTTTGTCTGCTTCATGTTTATATCCACAGTATCTACAGTCAATACTTTTTTGTTTAGCTTCAGGCTTCACCCACTTTTTATCTGTTTTCTTCTTCCAGGAAGAGTTGGGTTTGTTCTCACTTTGTTGACCTCTAGTATACTTCCCATCGCTTTCATTTGTGATGCAGTGGCTTCTGCTCCATGACATGTGTCTATGCAGTGGTTTAGAGTTAATTTGCGTTCTTGTAAGAGACGTTTTCTAACTGCATTATCTCTAACACCAATGACAATTTGATCTCGAATGAGGTATCCATGTAGACATTGACAGAAGTTACATGTCTTCGCTAGTGACTCAGTTCTGTGATGTATACATCTATGCTTCACAAGGTTCTTGCATATGTTTGTTGAACAAGTATCATTCATATGTCTCATTAACTACACCAATGAAGTGGTTGTCAAATTTCTTAACCACAGTTGCCAACAGGGTTTTGTCTTCAGTGTCAGCATAAGCAAAGCTAGTATATATTGCTAAGGCATCGGGACTAATTGCATGCAGAAAAAGAGCGAGTTGATATTCTGCCGTTTGCTTGATAAGCTGAGTAATTACACTGTAGTTACTCCATACCTGTTTCCTATGTTTTCCATTTCTCGACTGAACTGGAACTGTCTCTAAAATCGAGAAGAGCTGGTAGTGGGATTTGAGCAGCAGTAGGTGCTGATGATGCACTCGTTTCAGGCGGAGGCATTTTGTCATTCAAGGCAATGCTTCAGGCAGTACCAATATCATACGTGTTTCAGAACACACTAATACTGTAACAGTAGAGTACACTCACAGTTATTTAACTGCAAAATTTTCAGTTTCGCAGATCTTGGGTTGCTTTTCTTGACTTACAGAAACATCTGGGAATCAAGCTGCACCGCTGCCACCATTGTTTGGGTGTTGTTTTCATCTAAAGAGTGCGATCAGTCATTGATTCAACAGTAGTGATTTAATCACATTGAAGGCGGACATCTTGGATTACAACAACATGCACAGAGAATCACCTCAGGTCATAGCCTCGTTCTGGCTCTATGCTAATTCAAATATAACATGTTAAAACAAATGAGCATCAATAATGACATATTATAACAGACGAGGCTGAAATATTCACATAACAAAAGTATATCTCAAAAGTAAATATTCGTGGTTTATTTCAAGCCTAACCGGACCGGACATGAGAATTTTTAGTATAAAGTAGTCATCAAGGCTACAAAAACTGGAGTGTGTGATCAAAACTGAATCTTAAGTCCCCTTTATTACAACAGATAGTTTTAAGATTGTTATGGACACTTGATTTGAACTTTGTTACGACGTATATTAAAAGCTATCGTTGAGGGCATTATGACACACTGGGCTACATTTTCTCGAGGACTGCGAATGGGCACTCTGAGTACGCGCGGGCAGAGACTGGCAATCTAGTCCACATTTGTAAGTGGGTACAAGGCACAAACATGCATGTGTTATTACGTATTCACATACTTGTCCCGATTTCACCACAACCAGTATATATGGTCATTGAAAGTCTTATTTATTTAGTTCAACTATCGCATAAAGTTATATTATATTGGCGATGTCTCTCCTCCGGTAATCTGTTTCAGACATACACACAGAGTTATGTTCATACGCTCGGCGATGTTCCATTGATCGGGGATACAATTGGTAAAGTCATCGACAGAACAACAGAAAAATATCCAGACAAAACAGCTGTTGTTTTTTGTCAACAAGGGATCAGAAAAACATTTCACGAATTTAAAGAAGATGTAAGTTTTAGATTCGTATTATGAGTATACATTAGGTAAATGAGAAAATGCGAAAATGATGCTTGCTTTCGTACAATTATGTTCACATTTGATATATATGGATTTATGGTAAATATTATTCTAATCGAAAATATTTATTCTATGTGCATTACTACACTGTTTGCATGGTTTTTATCGTTATACGTATTGTGTAACATTCTCAGGGTACACACGTCGCATTCACACATAATTCAGTTGGGTGGAAATTCACCGTGGGTTAGTCATTCCCAAATTCACTATACACCGTAATCGCTAGGAAAAATGGAGCTTAGTAACTTCAAGATCGAAAATCAGCCATTTTTTTGTATTTTATATAAACGTACCTTTTACGCTCTTCACGACCATGTGAAATTCTAAAAAGGCGCAATTCTGAAAAAACGCATCTATTTTTACGAAATTTTGAACGCTCAAGCGTATCCCTTGACCAGCCAAGTGTCACCTGGAATAGTATTGCCATCCATACCCTGCCGGATTTTATATTGGTGACGTACCCGTTATATTACGTAATATTATAATACATCTTCTTGGTTTCCACTAAGCAAATTGTTCAGTGAGCTTCTAACGATTTGCATAAATGTCGAGAGTGCACGAGTAACCCCAGTAAATTAAAATAATACATTATTTAATTTCTAATCTACCATATACGGTATAACCTTTGCTGATTTGGTCTTATAGCGGAAAAATATAAGGGCATACAACATGTGTGACAACAGTAGAGATCTCAACATAGTTTTTTTTTATATTTTACATAAATATTACAATTTACTTTCAACAAATAGTTTGCAATTACAGTGGATCTATTATTACAGATTGATAAACTTGCTGCTGGTTTCCTGGCTATTGGGATTGAAAGAGGAGACAGAGTAGGTATGTGGTCTCCCAACAAATATGAATGGGTACTGACACAGTATGCAACAGCCACGATAGGAGCTATTCAAGTTAATATCAACCCAGCTTATAGACCGCAAGAGTTACTTTATGCACTTAAAAAGGTATATATATATTGGTTAAATGCAATTATTATTTGTTATAATATATTTTTACAACTATATTTACAACGATTATTCTACTTGAATGCGTATTTGCATATTAATTGGTTTTTAATTTTGTTATTGGGATTTGTCTGAACAAATAATGTGTAATAATGAGTTTCAAATTATGCTGAATGATAATGTTGCATATGATTGGTTCAGAGTTTATTCGATACATTGTAATTTTTGTCAACAATCAGATTATTTGAATATACCAGATACGAACTTATCTACAATAATGAGTTTCAAGTTCATGTGATATTTATCAAGTTAATTCTCAAGTTATTCAAATAGGCCAGGCCTATGTTCACGTTAATAAGAATAAATGTGCTTTGCAGTTGTATCTTTTACTGATGTCAAATATATTAATACTATGTCGATTCTTAGGTCGGATGTAAAGCATTGGTGTCAGATCAACAATTCAAAACTCAGGATTATTATTTAATTTTGGATGAAATATGTCCAGAATTGGAACATTCTAATGCCGGTGATATTAAGAGTAAAGTGTAAGTTAACATTCATTCACTGTATGCAGATAATGACTTGCCAACAAGAATTCACATAACAACACACAGCACGAGATTCGTTGCACCTCGCCACTACAGGAAAGTTAACCACTCAACCATGCTGTCGTCGACTCAAATGGCCTGTAATGAAGACGCCCACAAGTGGCTACATGGAAGTATGCAATCCGAATCTCAGACAACACATACTATTATAACTATACACATATAAACCCTGATATTCATTATTTAATACGATTCCACTCAGCTTATGTTTATCCACGGAGACAAATACTGTCACCGTGCTGATGATATCAATAGTAAAGCTGGTGCTGGTGCTATGCTGACGATTGTCATCCCAATCTTGATCAACTGTATACAAAGCATAATTTCATCTGACAAGTGAATGTATATTTACCTAAACTAAGGAAAGAAAAGAATAGTATATGGCATAGAAGTAACACATTGAGTATATAAATGCATACACCTCTTTGTAGTCCTTTAAACTTTATATCCATAAACCACAATTGCCCATATGTCAAAGTATGTTATGCCACATGAAAAATGAAAATGCACAAATGAGAATGCAAACGTCTCGCACATAGTGTAAAACAATTGTCCATAAACGCGGTGTTCAGTTACACTATTTTCTTTAATGTGTTGTAATTTTCTTATCCCTTTTTTAACCCAATCACCACAATGCACTGTATACAATTGATTTGCAGACATAGACTATTATGACGATAGTTCGCATTGACAGTGGAGCTATCACCTGTGCATTGTATTATTGCTGTTATCTTTCAGACTGCCTGATCTAAAGTCTTTAATAATGATGGGCAAAGGACATTTCCCTGGGGCTTACATGTTTGATGACATTATGGAGGCTGGTACACATGAACATATTCTTGAAGTGAAAGATATACAAGACGAACTTCAGTTTGATGACCCCATCAATATACAATATACATCAGTAAGTTATGGGGTATCATAGAAAACTTAAGGGGGTTATATGTTGGGAAATATATAGACTGGCACACTATAACATTTACTGAAGCGAGAAACTGACAACGATCTTTTGTTGACCAACTGAGAAACCGATAATGCCCAGTTTATATATATATTAAAAATGGTCCTTGACTAATATTATCTTACAGGGAACGACTGGTAATCCTAAAGGTGTCACATTATCTCATCACAATATCTTGAATAATTGTAATATTGTCGGTAGAACATTAGGTTATCATGAACGGGTGAGTAAATCTATCTTTAGTCTAAGTTGAATGGGTTTTTAGAAAAAAATATTAAGTATGAAACTAACGCTTGGGGCATTATTTTCAAAGTTATATTCCACAATGACATGTGACTACACACGTTATATCACAGGGAGCCCAGGAACTATAGTCAACTGTACGCACTCCCTATGAGCTGGGTGTATCGGCTGGTAAATAGTGTAAGAAATAGACAAGGGATGAAGGCTCCAGCGAGCTCATATTTTTAAACTGGAAAAACAGACGAACAGAATGAAAAAATAAAATCTATAAAAAAAATACCAGGTTGAAGAATATTAGTTGCTCTTTAAAATTTCGCCAAAGCCTTGCAAATATTTTACCTATATCTGCAGAATACATTGTAAATCAAGAAAACTACACACATTGACTCCATTTATGAATAATTAACGGTTGGCCCCGAACACACGGCACAGTTGGAGACGAAGAACCAATCACAAAACTGGTTACGAACCAGTTGAGCAAGGCTAACCGAGTCGTAACCTCGATATGGTTCGTAACCAGTCTTATGATTGGTTGTTGACAAATGCTGAACAGGCCACGCCTCCAACTGTGCCGTTCCTGGGCTCCCTGTGGTTATATATTTTTTGTACTGAAAGTGATGACTCCATAATTTATGAATAAATTACCACATTTCTGTTTAGTTTCTCCAAACTTGAGATGTAACGTTATCGTTGTGATTTGAGAAAGATTTGTGAACAAAACCTGTACCTGCAAAACCTTTATTGGAGTTGTGCAGTGTGCCTAAATAGAGAATGAGAAATTTGTATAAGTTATTTTTGTTCTTGCTTGAGAACTACTTGAACATTCAATATTAAAATGAAAATAAACTTGGCTGATAGTACATACTATTGTAAACATGGTTGGCAACTTTCTTATCTTATCATTAGTGTAAAAGAATAATATATTGTTAAGATACAATTGTTGTGTAGCTAATGAGAAAACATTGTAACAGTTAAATACAAACACAAACATGCTTACGTGACATGCTTAAAACGTGACATATTTCACATTCCTAGATGTTTTTCCAGGTTATTTGTGATTTCATTTATGAGTTAATTTCAATCTGCCTACAACAAATAAACACCCAAAATGCGTTGGTTCTCATCCTTAAGTGTTAACTGATAAATGTCTGAGGAATATTTTGAGGCCCAGTGAATATTGGACACCCACACATATGGTCACTTGTTGCTATGATGCAAACAGTATGGTAGTACATTATGAAGGTGCTTCTATTGGATTGAGTTAGTAAACCTTTTTATACAATTATGAATATAAGTAGGCTTCATATATACAAGGGGCGTTCAATAAGTAATGCCCCTGACTCACTTCCAGTTGTCTGATCTAGATGAAATTTTGCATGTGTAATGATTTACATCTCTATGGGTTATGTTGCAAAACAGGTTGCCAGGTTGCTCACACCTTTCCAGAAGCAAGAACGCGTTGATTGCTCGAGAATGAATTTGGAGATGTGCCAAAGTTGAGTCAACGTTTTTCAAAAGACCGATTACACAGGATGAAACTTGGGTCCATCACTATGTTCCAGAGATCAAAGCCCAGTCAGTGCAGTGGAAGCACTTGGACTCACCACCTCCAAAGAAGGCAAGGGTTCAGTTCTCCGCTGGCAAGGTCATGCTCACAGTCTTCTGGGACCAAGACGGAGTAGTGATGACAGATTTCCTGGAAAAGTGTACCACAATTACTGGAGTATATCAAGACTTTCATCTCTTCCCAACCATGAAGTTGTTTTTGAAAGGAAAGCGTTTCCCAGATGATGCAGCCTTGATTTCTGAAGTTACGACGTGGTAGGAGGACCAACCTGGGGTGTTCTACAAAATCGGTGTCTGGAGCTACATCAAACGATTGAAGAGATGCATAACGCTGGGTGGTTTCTATGTAGAGAAAGACTAATAACTGTGCCAAGTTGAATTAATCGCCCGCTATGGGAAATGAACCAGGGGCATTACTTATTGAACGCCCCTCGTATCAGCGGGAAGCCATGTGGCTATATATAGTATGCCAATGATCAGCACTTAGTCAGTCACAAACACCTACAATGGAGCAATAATATAGTATATCATTGGTCATTAATATTTTTATATGGTTTCCTTTCCCACCTATTATGCGCACATTAAAAGCACTGTAATTATGTATTTTCTAATTATTCCTTCAGGATCATGTTATATGTATTCCAGTTCCTTTATATCACTGTTTTGGTATGACTCTTGGTAGTCTATCTGGACAAATCTTTGGATCAACGGCAGTTTACCCATCAGCAGGTTTTGAACCAGAGGAAACACTGAAAGCGATAGAAAATGAAAGGTTAATATCTGCATATTATATATGTGAAATGGTGCATGAACAATGTTTAACATAACAACAACAACAACATAAGCAAACCGAACCCACGCAATTGGTCTCGCCATTGCCGAACCAAACTCACTGACCCAAACAAGTCAGTTCAAAATTGGCCTGGGGCGAACACGCCCAAAAGCGACTAGATGGAAATACTAATACATGTACACAAGCTGACCTAGAAACTCTGTGGTATTGTGTAAACATGGAACACGAGATTCGAATCGACAACTCGGCAAATGTGCCTTGCCATTGTAAGCAGACCTGCGTACAGTGCTGTGTGTACGGGGACGCGTTCAGTTGATAGATGTCCCCACCACAGCCCTGCGAACTTCCATAGACAAAGTCCGGGACTTTGAAAAATATAACTTTTTTAATGAAATAATATGCCCAGGTACCAAAAATGATGATCGATTACCAGATATATCCAGAACTCCCAGTTCGGAGTCCAATTGTGGATGAAATCGGCTACTTTGCCCTAAAAACAAACGCATTCTCTCGCGTGAATGAAATTAAAAATGGCGGCGTTTGGTGGATAATTCCTCCGGTACCTACGCGTTTACCATTTGTCCGTCTTTACTAGTCGTTTTTTAAAGACATTTCAGTTTCAGATAACTTTATAATGGTTGTTACGGATAACTATCGTCATTTCAACCGATTTTCAGCTGGGAAACTACTTATTTTTAACTTGCGCACCAATTAGTGCGCTCCCGGACTTTGTCTATGGAGGTACACAGGGCTGTGGTGGGGACATCTATCCACCGAACGCGTCCCCGTACACACAGCACTGTACGCAGGGCTAGCAGACACGTTGCCCGTTATGTCTTAACTGTTCCCCAAAATACAGCTTCAGCTGCCGTGTAGAAAATGTGCTCTTACAGTGACATCCGCAATCAGAATATCTGACGTCACAAACACAACATGCAGAATATAATTCTAAACACAGACAAATCCTAGTATAATTATTGCCGTAAGGACCTAGCCAGTAACGAACATCCTCGGGGACAAAAATATGCCTTGCAGTGAGTGCAAGTAATCGAAATTACAGGCCCATATACGAACACAAAAACATGACAATCGAACTTAAAACTGTGTGAATGTACCTTGTCACTGTAAGAAGACGCACCAAAACGAAATGCCAAGTAGTGAATGTACTATTTTCTTTCAATGACTAGTTGGACATGGCAATTCAGATCTCTGACTGAAATTATGATGCCATTGCTGTGATAATTCATGTGTATGTTGAACATCACACATTCTCTAAATATGAGTGTTATTATAAGTGTTTACATACATCATTGAAGTGTTTCCATTAAGTAGTGTTTATATGTTTGCCATTGTTTATTCAGGTGCACCTCGCAGTATGGCACTCCTACCATGTTTATTGACTTGTTGCATCACCCACACTTTGATAAATACGACATGTCAAGTTTATTCACTGGTATAATGGGTGGATCACCTTGTCCTATAGAAACTATGAAACAAGTTATAACAAAGATGAATATGAAAGAAGTAACTGTGAGTAACTATGGATACTGAATATGATGGTTAGTTGGTTGAGGTATGGCTGATTGGGTGTGTCCCATCTGCTAGATAGATGGTTGTGGTATGTTTACATGGCAGGTGGATGTGTAGATATTCAGTTTTTGCGTTGGACTTATGGGTGGATATATAATGCAAGATGGATGATGGATGGATTTTTTGGATATTTGGGGATGATACTGTGGTTGGACTGATTTATAGGTGGGTGTGTGTGTATGGGAGGGTACTGAATTAAAACTATATAGATGTTTTAGTTTCGATGGCTATGTTGTTGGACATTTTGTAGATGGGCGATGAATGGATGGATTAACTAACAATTGCACATGGTTACCTCGGTGACTGAGAGGCTAAATGAATGAACGAGTTGTGCATATATTTACAGACTCCCGTATGATTGGATGGATTTGGGGAAAGTTTTGGTTTATCAAGTCTCTTTAGACGAGTGTGTTGAATTCATTTACATGTATCGATGCTTGGATGATTTACTAAATGTTTGACCATTATTGATTATTTTAGATATGACATTGGTTTAGATTAGTAAATGAGCAGGTGGTGTACAGGTTTATGGATGTTTAGATAACTGGATAATTGGATGCTGAAAACTGGATCAGTCTGTGTGTTTTTTTTATTTGACAGTCAACTGATGAATCTGAAAACTCTGAGTAAGCGTCAATAGTTATTGAACAATATTTTAAAAACATGAGATACATCTGTTATTTGTATAATGCTATAGTAAAAATGTATTCTGTTTCCAGATTTGCTATGGTTTGACAGAAACTAGTCCAATAACATTTCAAACTAGCCGGTTTGATCCAATTGAGCTTAGAGTATCCACAATAGGTAAACCAGTTTCACATACAGAGGTAAGATACCAATTTTCAAAACTGCTGTCAGATTTACATGCTGCCGGTACTACACATCCAGTACTAAGGCCAGACTTTTTTTATTCCTTGTTTCCCGGATTTTTATAGAGCGATTTTTTTGAGGAGGGCGGAAAAAAATGAAATTAATTCTTTTTTTCCCATTAGATTTGTGTGATTCTCAGATAATTGTAAGTGAGATCATTGATCGAAGAGAAGAAATAAAATACAATTTTAGTCCATGTATAACCTTGTTTCTCATCTGCGCGAGACTTCTATACTTTGATCTTGATACTCCCACGAAAAGGCAACTTGGATTTGTTATTCGGCGGTCGGTAAAAAAATGAAGATAAAAATAATATTTTTTAGCAATTTTTGGCGCTTACAAGTCGGCGGGTGCGAGAAATTACGCTGCAATAAAATTTTATTTTTATTTCATTTTCAGCTCCTGTTTATTCGGCGGGTTCGCGAAACAAGGGATATTAAAATTCTGGCCTAATGATTAGATAAATAAATAAATGTTATTACTTTTTTTTTCAAGTTGTATACATACTGTACATTACAAAGAAATATTGCTTTGATACGTTTCGTTGATTTATACAAGAGTAATTTATTTCTCATTTTTTCACCAACACCAACGACCAACGTAGTTCGAGTTAATTAAATGATTTGGCACCATAATTTAGTTACAGTGAATGAAGATATGACACAAAATTTGCTTAAATGTTTAGCCATATGTTTCTATAGGGATTAACTTGACTTAAATTATCTAAAATTAATACATTATTTTCCAGGCCAAAATCATAGATCCAGAAAGTGGTCATATTAAAGCAGTGGAAACACCTGGAGAAATGTGTACAAGAGGCTTTTCAACTATGTTAGGATATTGGGGTGATGAAGAAAAAACTAAGTCAATAATAGGCAGTGACAGATGGCTTCATAATGGGTAAGTAAAGTAATGTCAAGAAATGTATTTGGTGGATTAAATTTAGTTATGTTTGCTCTGGCACAAGGACACTAGTTGATTTCACACATTTCTCATTATTGTTTTTTTATGATGAACCTTTCCATTACGGTCAAATACTTGTATCTGACATTTTGCTGCTAAAGGACGGTGTTTCTTTCAATCTACAGAGATATTGCTGTGATGGATGAAACTGGCTATTGTAGAATTGTCGGTCGTATGAACGATATGATAATCAGAGGTGGTGAAAATATCTATCCTGTCGAAATTGAAAAATTCTTATATAAACATCCCAAAATTGAAGATGTACAGGTTAGTATTTGCATAGTAACCGATTATTTGATATCAACATTTCACATGTTGCAAATTAAATAATAATAAATCATGCCAGAATTTTGTGGTATCCCGTAAATATGAGTGTCACAATACAATACAAATCAACACAACCCTGTGTGTTAGATCCATGACATTGGTAACAAAATAAAGAACTGATTTTAATGAGCCACTGACGTCCTATCGATGGTACCACATGTCCAGAATGAATAAATGTATTACATAATAAATATCATTTTCGAATAAGGACTCTTGCTTCTAAATGGTCGCCAGTGTGTAGTTGCATTGATTTCCTTTACGTGTAAGCCAATAGTGCTGTACTTCCTGGGTTATACTGTTTTGTGTGCTTACTTTCCATAATAACCTTATATAAACATATATTGAGTTGCAGGTGATTGGTGTACCAGATGAAAGGCTTGGTGAAGTAGTATGTGCATGGATTAAATTGAAAGCAGCACAGACAGCAAGTGAACATGAAATTAAAGACTTTTGCCAAGGACAGGTACAAATTTACAACAAACAATCAATATAAAGAATGGATCGCCGATTAGTTTGGCTCACGTACCAGCGAGATTTTATGCGATAAAACCAAAAAAAAAATGGTAGAAACGTAAATGTGTAATATTTCACACAAAGCTACCGATTCACCACATTCGACCTTGCTATTCGCAACACAAATTAGAACCTAACTGCACACAATAAGTATTGTGCGATGATTACATATCAACTAGATATGTTAAAATATGTGAATCATTATTAATAGTGAGATCATCTTCAGAATTATAAAATCGTTTTTCGTTTTACAGAATATCGGAATTCAACTAGTAAACATATGCTGATATCAACTATTTCTATTTTCTTTTTCTTTGTTCTCATCACTGCAGATTGCTTATTTCAAAATTCCCCAGTATATTTGCTTTGTGGACAGCTTCCCAATGACAATCTCGGGGAAGATTAAGAAGTTACAAATGAGAGAAGAATCGCTTGGCATGCTGGGATTGGATTGACTTTGTTGAACAACATTTCACATTTCTGCCTCCATTAATCATATTGTCATTTACAATCTAATGTGAACGTTTTTACGACTTTTTTTATTAAATTGTTTTGACAATTACAATCCATTGTAAAATAAACCAAATAATGATGTCATTTAGTATCTGTGAGAAGTATGTTTTGAGTCAATAAGAATATACCAACATGTGAAGTAAGAATTGTCTTCGTAATGGTGAGAAATTTGTAAATTAAATATTTAACGTGCAACTAATTGTATTAATACATTGTCGAAGTCGAATCGACCCGATCTTTCTGGCTCCAGATGTTAAGATTGATCGTTACTAGGTCATTGTGACAATGTTTTAGTCAATTCATTATTTTTAGGTTAGTGTAACGTTTCTTTTTTATATTTATAATATTTTTCCACACTTAATTTACAGAAACAAAAGCGTACACACACAGAAACCTAAAAAGAAGACAAGAATGAGATGTGGGCTATTGTGGCGTTTTCTATTTTATACCCTTCAATTCCAGCTGTTATGTTTTGTTTGTGCTATTTCAATAATAAAAATAATAATTTACAATTACAAAATAACATTTTTAACCCGTTCGCTTCCTTGGTATTTATAAAATTGAGCAGCGTTGACTGCTGGTGTTGAATGATTGGCTATCCATTAATCCAAATTCAAATTGGCTAATTGGCTCTCATTTCTGATAATGATATAATATTTTGCCACTACTTAAAGTCAGTTGATGTTTTATATGTTCATGGTCTTTAATGTGTGCATTGAAACCAACAAAAAAAGATTTTTACTTCTCCCCTACATATGTATTTTTAAACAATAAAATCAAATCATTCAACATAATGTTTTCCACCTTATAAATGCCAAGAATAATATTTTGTACATTACAAACTGTATTTGAAAATAAATTATAGTTTTGCTGCATTTTCCCCCCACAATGACTGTACACCATGGCATTCCACGAACAAGTGCTCTATGGTTTCAATTTCTGTATGAAACATAGAGGGGGCTACTAACTTCCATTGGAAACGTTGGAATGTATCTATGAATAATTTGAAACTGATAGGCTCTAAGATCTGTTGAAATTGTAGTAGTTTAAGGTAGACTACAAATGTTCTTGATATTTACTAGAGATACATCATACAGTTCCTCCAACCTAGATTTAATTGTTGGATATTCTATTTTATTATTACACATAACTTATAAACTTGTTAATGAATTGATATGTATATATGATGAATTAAAATAAATTACATTTTCTGGTTCAAACCACTTGTGACGGTTTGAAATTTTCCACTTTTTCGCTATTGCAGAATATAATCCCTGAATATGTAAATAATCTAATGTTGATAAGTCCTTTGTTTGCCAGTAATTTCAGTTGTGAAGGTTGGTTATTATCGAATAAATTCTATTAATATTTTTAATTGCAAGAGATTCGAAATATACTGAATGATTCCCAATTGTTGTTTATTTGTTATCCCATTGATGGTCTATTATTTTAGGCGAGTCGGGGACAACTTGTGCAAATGCTGCCCATTCAAGGCAGATATATATCTAGAAAGAACGGCGAGACAATTTCTTTTAGTTTCTGTACATCGTAAGTGCAGAGAAAAAATATGTTACCACCAAAATTCCTTAACATGTCTTGCATGATCACCTTCCATCCGGCTTGACATTCCATGGTAAACTAGTGTAACGTTTCTTAGTCATTGAATTAATTCATCTTTAAAACTTATTATTGCACGTTATACATGCTTGAAATGTCGCAAAAATCGAAAGGAAATCTTTTGATATGTGCTTCTCCGATTACAGTATTCCATGTAATCAAAATAACGAACGGAATCACTCATGTAAGTGCCATTTTTGAGTGTGTTACACAATTAAAAGACTGAATATACTGAAGATTTAGAAAATAAATAAAACGATTATCGATCTTATTGTACAGTCAAGTAGCATAAATAGCGTTGTTGCACCAAAACTAGTTAACCAAAATGACTAGTTGTATGCACACTAAAATCGCCCTCGAAATTAAATACACAGATTCCTACAATAGCAGATTATTGTAAACAATTATCTTCAAATTTGGTAAATTAAAAGTTGTTCTTTGTGGGGTATTAATTTTATTTTCATGAGTGATGCACGTTTCCCTGTGGCCGTATTTTCACGAGCGAACCAATACCATATCTGATATTAGCTGCGAATAACATTTGTGTCATATATGCAAAAATTACGAAATAACAGTCGAACATTATAAACAATTTGCTTTGCCGAATTAGTTTACTAGCTCAAAATATGTTTAAAACTGTCGACTAAATTTGAATCTGTAAACATAACTAGAATGGAATCGCCCGAGTTGGGACGAACTGCAATTGGTACACGTGTTCACATGCATGATGTATTTGCAAATGTGCAAGTTAACATTCAACATAATCATAATCAACATAATTGATAAGCATTCAAATCACAATTAACATACTTGAAAGCATTTATATCAGAATTACACATTCTTCACGATTTGTCTTCTCAAATAATCACAAATGGTCATGTAAAAGTTTAATCATTTAATTTACATTACATTCATTTAAGTGATAAAAATACATTGTATAAGAATATATTTCCTTCTACCCATGAAAGTAAAGACCAAACTGATACCAGAATGTAGGCACCGAGAATTGGAAGGAATAGTATCCATTGGGGAGTTCTTGCATAGTTCCATCTTCACTTTACAAGTTTAATTATCCATTTTCGTATGTAAGTAAGATGAAGTTTTTCACATTCACATAATATTGTAAACAAATGAAGCAGTAGCAAGACATGATAAATAGAAACACTTAGTGTTAGTGTGGTCACTTCAGGAGTATTGGTCATTTTCTTTGTATGGATTCGAGTTTGCCAGGATATACATCCTTCAGATTAGCATTGGTCATCCTACAATAATCTCTATATGCATATATAATACATTTTAATATAATTTTTCAATAAATTCATGATTCCTGATTTTTAGCAAGTACAATTAAAATCATTTACACTATTTGTGTTACGCACCAGTTATCAAACTGTTCATTGAAATGACTGTAGATCCAAAAACAAAAGTGAAAATTTTAACATTACAACAGGCAAGAAGTTTAGTTGCATGCGTGTAAAAATTAAACCATGCTTCATTGAGAAATGTACATACAATACAAGAAAACGGCCATTAAGGACAATAGGCAAATAGAAATGACATCTGTACACTTACACGTCTGGCAATAATAATGTATACAAACTCAGAAGTAATTCATTTCATACGCCCCGTCACATGATAAGTTATGTAGTGTCTTCAAGTGATTAATGAAAACTTGAATTCCCTGCGTATAAATTTCCACGAGTTAATTACTATAAATAACCTATGTTAATTAACAATTATTTTAATACAAAGTTAAGCAGTAACTTTAAAATAATTCTTGTAAGTAGTAATCAGTGTATGATTTAAAAAGTGTAGTTAAAAATGTACTGGTAAGTTAAAACGACCTTTCTTTATTTAGGTTTCAGGAAGACGATGGATTCTTTATTATTTGATGAAAAAAAGATGGAAATATCAGAATTGCGATCAACAGTGGCATCGTTTCAATTACCAAACTGCTAATGGTGGCAATTTGTACTCTGTATTGTCCATATAAATGTTACTTTGTGGCATTCATGCCATTCAGCTGATCTATAAAGTTCTTCAAAGTTGCTCATCCAATCCCAGCATGCCAATCGATTCTTCTCTCATTTGGAACTTCTTAATTTTGCCTGTGACTGTCATCGGGAAAGTCTCCACAAAACAGATGTACTTGGGAATTTTAAAATGAGAAATCTAGTGATGAGAACGAAAAAAAAACAATTATTTCCAGTGCGCACAAAGAATATATATACATATAACTGATCTGATTATAGAATTGAACTAATCTTTTACATGCATTCAATTATAATTAAATGTTTATAACCTCGGGAATAAAGTTATGTAAAATTGCCCCTGTTTAATAAAACTTCGAATATGTTAATATTATGCAAATTATCTCATGATTTGTGGATATCAATATTATGCAAAATATCTCATGATTCATGGATATTAATATTATGCAAATTATCCCATGATTCGTGGATATTAACATTATGCAAATTATCCCATGATTCATGGATATTAACATTATGCAAATTATCCCATGATTCATGGATATTAATATTATGCAAATTATCTCATGATTCATGGATATTAATATTATGCAAATTATCTCATGATTCATGGATATCAATATTATGCAAATTATCTCACCGTTCAAGGATATTAATATTATGCAAATTATCTCATGATTCATGGATATTAACATTATGCAAATTATCCCATGATTCATGGATATTAATATTATGCAAATTATCTCACCGTTCATGGATATTTACATTATGCAAATTATCTCATGATTTATGGATATCAATATTATGCAAATTATCCCATGATTCATGGATATTAACATTATGCAAATTATCCTATGATTCATGAATCTGAATATTATCAGAATATATGCAAATTATCTCACTGTTCATGGATATTAATAATATGCAATTATCTCACCGTTCATGGATATTAACATTATGCAAATTATCCCATGATTCATGCATATTAATATTATGTGAAATGTCTCACCGTTCATGGATATTAATATTATGCAAATTATCTCATGATTCATGGATATTAATATTATGCAAATTATCTCACCATTCATGGGTATTAATATTATACAAATTATCTCATGGTTCATGGGTATTAATACTAGTATTATGCAAATTATCTCATGATTCATGGATATTAATATTATGCAAATTATCTCACCGTTCATGGATATTAATATTATGCAAATTATCTCACCATTCATGGGTATTAATATTATGCCAATTATCTCACCATTCATGGGTATTAATATTATGCAAATTATCTCATGGTTCATGGATATTAATACTAGTATTATGCAAATTATCTCATGATTCATGGATATTAATATTATGCAAATTATCTCATGATTCATGGATATTAATATTATGCAAAATACCTCATGGTCCATGGATATTTGTATAATTCATAAATATTATTTATATGCACTCCAACAATGTTGGAAATCAATCAGCTTACATACCCACTAAAAATCTGCAATGAAACTAAATACTAATCAATATTTATGATGTCAATTTGTACCTGTCCTTGACAAAAGTCTTTAATTTCTTGTTCCTTTGCTGTCTGTGCTGCTTTTAATTTAATCCATGCACATATCTCTTCACCAAGTCTTTCATCTGGTACACCAATCACCTGCAACTCATCACATTTCATATTAATAATATAAGATTATGCACAAAGATGCATAGTGATGGCTGGCTAATGTATCTATAACCTATCTGAGCACATCATTTGTGATATTCTCATAATAACATTATAATTATTAGTCTTCTTTATCCAGTTATTCAATGTATAAAGCAAGCTATCCGTTATCTTAAAAATATGGTGCACCTCACATGGTGGGATAAAATTACCCTGTGCAATATTGAAAAATGAAGATATGTTATGACTTATGGGGATAACGTGACATATGTACAATAATGAAATAAGAATGATTCCATTTGGTGATTCCATTTGTAAACAAGAGTTGGCTGAGCAATCTTCCATGCTGGCAAATAAACCTTTTAAATTGTAGAGAACTTTAGGGGTTTCACAGATATTCAATGGCAGTTATAAACACAATTGATTAAAAATAAATACTGAGATTATTGAACCCTTGGACAAATGAACCCTCGGAATATCGACCTATAACCACACAACCATCTTGAATTTGACCGTGAAACTAATGCTTGCATCACATATGTAAAGTTGAAACACGATCAGTCCAGCAGGCATGTCCAGGCGCCAGAACTGCATTCCCCCCAAAAAAAATTCCGGTGCCGTCACCACTGCATGTATCCTCCTCAAGATGCAAGTGTTCAGCCAAAATTACAAGTGCAAACATACAGACACATGAATGAAGGGATGAAGGTATGCATGCCCAGAAGTGAAATTATAAGTTCCTGATAGCACTTTGTCTAACTAAACTAAATATCACAACTAAATAATCAGTTACAATAAAAAATACTAACCTGTACATCTTCAATTTTGGGATGTTTATATAAAAATTGTTCAATTTCGACAGGATAGATATTTTCACCACCTCTGATTATCATATCTTTTATACGACTGACAATTCTACAATAGCCAGTATCATCTATCACAGCAATATCTCTGCAGAAGAAAATAAATCATGATAAGTAATTCAGTTTTAGGCAGTATATATATATATATATATATATTCTGTGGCAATGTTTCTTTAATATACATGGATAGAATGTACATATCACCAATCTTTGTCAAATGCAGATTTTGAATCTATGATGTACATGCTCAATAAGCTTGCGCATACCCAAATTCGCAGACAAGAATTTGAAACTATGCTTATTTTAGATAATATTTGGTACCGGATAATCGTAGTTACTTAGGACTACATTTACCAAATATTATGTACTATATATCATATTTATCAGTCCAAGCAGCATTTATAAATTTATGCTTATTTTAGTAGTGGTACAAAACAGATGATGCAAAAAAGATGGCAAATGATCTTGGTAAGTTATTTAGCCTACCCAGTATGAAACCATCTATCACTGCCTACAGCAGCCTTAGTTTTTTCTTCATCCTCCCAATACCCTAACATAGTTGTAAAGCCTCTTGTACACAATTCACCAGGTGTTTCCACTGCATTCACATGACCACTTTCTGGATCTATGATTTTAGCCTGGAAAATAATGTATTAATTTTTAGATAATTTGTTAATTTAATCCTTCATTATATCAACTAAGTGATGTTGCAGCCCTGTCTGTATAATGTTCAAGTGATGTTAGACAGACAGAATATATTTAGTCTAGCATTTTATGTATATATTTCTTTTATTATATTGCGTTGATGTTACGGTATGTTAACAATAGCTTTAAAGACAATAACTATCAAAGTGTTTATGACTGAAAAACAACTGGGGAAAAGAATTACCAGATTATTCAGAAAATTTGAAACTGTTGAGTTTGAGAATAAAGTACATTTCATTTTAGAATGTACATTTCTTCTCATTTTCTCACTAAAAGATACAAACTGTGGAATGAAATAAATATAATCATAATCATAATAAAGAATCAAATTATTCAGTTAAATTGTAAACAGCAATATTTCAGTCACCAGTCACCAATTAAATAGTGTAGGCATGATTGAATGTATTGCATTACTGTCACTACAAAAAGCCATAAATTAAATTCAGCTGTTGATTTTAAATTGCACACAATATCCTATGATGTTATAGTAGTGTAGTAAAGTTATTTATTTCTCACCTCTGTATGTGAAATTGGTTTACCAATTGTAGATACTCTAACTTCGATTGGATCAAATCGACTACTCTGGAATGTTACAGGACTGGTTTCCGTCAAACCATAGCAAATCTAGAAAGAGAGCAGAACCAAATGTTATTCTGGAATGACTGTAGTTACGTAATATTATGATTATGATAAGTCATGTGAAGAACACTTTATCACCTAATATCACTAATTTGTATAGCTGGTTGATGATTGTGGTGTCATGGGCTGTATTATCCACTCATTTTCTGTACATAGATAATGCAACCCCACTTACATCAACCAGCTCTACAGGTGATAACTGTATGAGATTATTACGAGGATACCTCAAAGTATGCACGAAGACAATACAGCGGGAGTATCAACCAACGTGCAGTGGAGGTCAATGCAACGACGTACTGTCTGAGGATACTTTGTGGTACCCTCATAAATAACCAAATTATTATACATCTTTTCCTCTCAACGATACATCATGGGAATGCCGAAATCAAACAAGTTTAGAACAGAATCAGCAAACTTCTTTGTGTGGAGTCTGGTCAAACCCTGGTGGCAGCCATGTTTGTTTTTATTATTAGAGGATGCTTATGCGTGTAATCATTCCTTATTTGGAATTCGCTTTTCCTAATATAGTAGGATAAAAATACCCTGTAAATTACCGCAAAATTACGGCACGCTGTAACTTACGGTGTTACGGTGACAGATGTATAATAATATCATTTATTTGTAGAGCCAATTCATGGTGACATAAGTTGTAGTATTATCACATAACCAACTTTGAAAACAAGATTAGTAAATTTTATTGTGAATCATATGCTCTATTTCACAGTGCTGTTCATGCTGATGACCACAGAGTTACATTTGTAAGCGTTGCAGTTTTCCACACAGTACTTTAATTGCACTATCTAAGCATCGCTAACATTCTGCGGG